CTAGCTGATGCTTTCTGATGTTAGTCATCTTCGTGGCTGCCAGAGTGATCTCTGAGCATCAGGTGGCCTCAAAGTACCTGACGTCTGCCTGGCACTCATTTGTTACCTCTTATCAGTCACTCTCCATGACCCTTTCACGTGCCAACCCTGGCAGACCACATAACCTCACACAGTAAGTTCATCTGATCTTTTTTAAAATTACTTAATTTTATTTTTTTCATTGTACATGTTTGTGGGATATAGTTTTTGTTTCAATACATGCATTTATTGTATAATGATCTTATCAGAATAGTTAGCGTATCTGTCACCTAAACATTTATCATTTCTTTGTGGTTATAACATTCAAGGTCCTCTTTTCTGGCTATCTTGAAATATATGATACAATATTACTAGCTGTTGTCACCCTAGGGCACCAAAACTTGTTCTTCCTATCTAACTGTACCTTTGTAACTTCGTACCTGTCTACCAAGCTTTTCCAGGCCCCCTCTGCCCCCTCCCTTTCCCTGCTTCTAGTTACCACTATTTTACTTTCTATTTCCTTTTTTTTTAACCTCTTTTAAATTTATTTTTCTTAATTGACCAATGATAATTGTATATATTTATGGAGTACAATATGATATTTAGGTACATTCATACTGTGTGCAATGATCGTATCAGGGTGCTTAGTATATCTATCACCTCAAACATTTGTTACTTCCTTGTGTTAGGAACATCCAACATCATCTTGACTAGCTATTCAAAGACACACAGTACTTTGTTGTGAACTGAGTGCAGGTATCTCTTCAACTTGTTGGTCTCCATTCCTTTGTATATATACCCAGTAGTGGGATTGCTGGATCATATGGTAGTTCTATCTGTAGTTGTTTGAGAAATCTCCATACTGTTTTCCATGATGGCTGCACTAATTTACAGTCCCACCAACAATGTATAAATGTTCCCCTTTCTCTGCATCCTCGCCAGCATTTGTTATTTTCTGTCTTTTTGGTGATAGCCATCCTAACTTGGGTGAGATGATATCTCATTCTGGTTTTGATTTGCATTTCTCTGATAATTAGTGATGTTGAGCATTTTTTCACTGGCCATTTGTATGTATTCTTTTGAAAAATGTCTATTCATTTTCTAATCAGACTATTTTTTTTAAATTGAATTGTTAGGGGCCGGCCCCGTGGTGCACTTGGGAGAGTGCGGCGCTGGGAGCGCAGCGATGCTCCCGCCGTGGGTTCATCCTATATAGGAATGGCCGGTGCGCTCACTGGCTGAGCGTGGTGCAGACGACACCACACCAAGGGTTGTGATCCCCGTACCAGTCATGAAAAAGACAAAAAAAAAATTGTTAGAGTTCTTTGTATAGTCTGGATGTTAATCCCTTTGAGATTCATAGTTTGCAAATATTTTCTCTCATTCTGTAGGTTGTCTTTTTGCTCTGTTGATTGTTTCCTTTGCTGTGCAGAAGCTTTTTAGTTTGATATGATCCTATTTGTTAATTTTTGCCTTTGTTCCCTGTGCTACCAAAGTATTCATAAAGTCTTTGTCCCAGACCTGTGTCCTGAAGTGTTTGCACTTTGTTTTCTTCTAAAAGTTTAGTTTTTTAGTTTTGGGTCTTACATTTTAGTCTTTAATCCATGTTGAGTTGATTTAGGTATATGGTGAGAGTTAGGGGTCTAGTTTTATTCTTCTGCATATGGATGTTCAGTTTGTAGGTACAAAATGAGCTTATGCCCTTTCAGATATGTGGAATGAGATATTGATTCTAGTGAGATTTCAGAATTAAAAAATCTTATATTTTTAAGTTTTACTACTTTACTTTCTCAGTAGCCATGAAAGTTTTATTTTATTAAAATTAGTCAAAAAACAGCAATGATTTTCGTTAGTGCTGGAAAAATAATACACCTAGGAAATATTTTATTTTAAGGTTTGAGGTTCTATGATTTATATGATGTAGACAGAATAGACAGAGGTGAGCAGGAATGGAGGCAGGAAAGACCCAGTTGGAGGTTATAGAAAGAGTTCAAGGAAGAAATGATGGTGGCTCGTGTAATGGCAAGGTGCCAATTCAAGATGCGTTTTGGAAATAGAACCAGGAAAACTTTCTGTTGCATATTAGATAAGGAAGGTAAGGGGGGGAAAGTGTCAGGGGTGACGTCTGGAATTCAGGCTTGAAGGAATGGCATTGCCATTTATTGAAGAAGATGAGGAAGGGGAGGAACAGGTTTGGGGGAGAAAAATCAACCCGCGAGGCATAGTGTGGAATGTCAAGTGGATAGTTGGATACTAGCTCTAAAGCTCAGAACGGAGTTTTGAACTAGAGACATGAACGTGGGAGCCATTGGCTTATAGGAAGTATTTAAAGCCCTGGGAAAGGATGTCAAAGCTGGGGAGGAAATGTAAAGAGAGAAGAGAGCCCGAAATTGAGTTTTCTGGGATATGACCATATTTAGAGGTTGGGGAGGAGTTACCTGTAAAATAGAATAAGAAAGAGACAGAGATAGGAGGAAAGCAGGAGGGAGTGGTGTGTTGACAAGGAAGGTCTCATCCCCTGGGTTGGGGCTGCCAAGAGGTCAGAGGAGAGGAGAACAGGCAAGAGTGGATAGTCTATCGCACTGGCCACGAGATCCACCCCAATGGAGCTCTGGGGTTGGAAGCCAGACTGCGGTGGTTGCAGAGAAAATAGGAAGCAAAGAAATAGAAGACAATAAAGGTCAACAACATTTACTGTTCTTGAGAAGCTGTCTTGAGTGGAAAGCAGAGAAACATGATAGCAGCTAATGCAGGATGTGAGTGAGATCAAGGGAAAGCTACTTTATTTTTGTGAGAGGGGAACCACTGAAGTGTGATCTATTTTTTGGTAGAATTTTAGTCTATAGAATGTGTATTACATTGGGTGTGGGCTAGTATACTAAGATTCAGACAAGACAGAAGTTGACTTCTGCCTTATGTAACAGTCCAGAACAGGTGGTCTGCATTCCATGAGGTCATCCAGGGACCCAGGCTGGAGGGGGCAGCTCTGACATCCTCCCGAATGTGAGGCATCCATGACTAAGTTCGAAGACAACCATGTCTGTTGTTATTTTCTGGCCAATGAGAAAGGAAAATCTAGGGCAAATGGCTTTGTCTTTATGAAGATAACTTAAACATTGAAGACATCTTTCCTGTTGCCTCATTGGCCCAGACTTAATCACATGGCCACAACCCATCATAGACTCTAGCTGGGTGAAGGAGTACCTGCTGAAGCTGGAAGCTGAGTTACTAAAGGAAGACGGGATCTGGGGGAGAGTCTATTCCTACCACAGGCTATGAGCTCCTTGGGATGGGGAGGGTGGTTACAACATATTAATCTCTGTTTCTAAACCATAAGCAGTGCTTGGCTTATATTTGGTGCTCAGTGTTTGGTGAGTTGAATTGGCTATTAGAACTAATTCCCTTCCTTCCAAAAGGTAGAATCTGACTGTAGGCTCTGACTTCCACAGTGCACCGCCTGCCTTCCTCCTCTGCTGTTTTCTGTATACTCAGACCATTTTCCAGGATAAACATGCAAAAGAAAATTTAATATTTACTTTCAAGATTTGCTTGAAAATCTAAAATGTATTATAAGAGGAAAAAAGAGAATTTGTTCGTTTTATTTGGATCACTATCTTTCTCTGTATATGGGCTTGATATTTACATATGCTTTGGCCAGCTGAGCACATGCCAAGTTGACATGTCTTTTATTCAACACAGAGAATATCTGATGATTGTGAAAAGTAACCCTAAATAGAAAGCACACTTATAGCACTTAGTTTACAACATAGCTTAGTATTTGTAATGTTCCTTTCATCTTTAAATTATTAAGCATATTCCAATGTGTATTGTGAAGTTAAGAACTAGATGTTGGTTTTACTATAGAGTTACTAGTTTTATTTTGCATAATTGTATAGTATACTAATGGGTATATGATTTGCTTAAAGTATTACTAGCCCTTTGCTCATGATGTTTTTACCATAAGATTAGAATTAGGAATAAAAATTATATGACAATCTGAGATATTTGTTTTTAAGATACTTACCCCACATACCTAAGATAAGAAATTACTTAAGATGACACGATCTCTACTTGGCATAGCAGCTCTTGCTGCTTAGAGAGAAACTACCTTAAAACACAGCAGCATATCTATTAGTAGGGGGGAAAGTAACCGCAGGAAATAAGTTCTGTAGATATGATCATGTTTGGTTTCTTCATTTGGCAGATCTGGAAACCAAGGCACCAAATACTTAAGTATCCTGACTAGCAAACCATTAAAAGGAGGTGGTTATATTTTAGAAGGTCTTTTTCTTAGGATGTATCAGCAGGTTATTATGCATTAAGATATATTGCTTGAGTTCCTTAGGTGATGAGAGTTAACTTGGGAGGAAGGGAGAGGCGATGCTACCCAGGCCCTCCCAGGTTGTGGCCAGTGCTTGTCCAGTATGGGACAGATATCATGCCCTTGAAGAAGCCTCTACTCTAGTTGTGGTTGCTGATTTAGAGGGCATAGCAGAACTAGGAGAAATCACATGGGAAAAGCATTCCTTCCTGGAAGAATCCATAGATTCAGGGGTCAAGAGGGCCCTGTGTAGAGAAAGGAAGAGGGAGAGAAATAAGAACGAATGTCTGCTTCGTTATTAGATTATCCTTCCCAGGGATCAAAATATATGCTCAGCTGATGCAGCAAATGTATTTTTCTGAAATTAAATGTAAGTTATGTAATTATTATGACATTCCTTTAATGTCATTTTACGATGCTCAGTGAAAGAGATCTAATAGGAGTAAAACCTGTGATCATTACAAATCAACTTTTACTCCTGGTTCAGTGTTGATTTTGAACTACTGCTGGGCACCCATCTTCGTGGCACGTTTGACAAGTCGTCTGTTAGGTGTGTGGAATAGGAGTGTTTCACAGGTGGAATCTCTCCCTCGCTCCTGTGGTTCCCTAGCCTCTCACGCTTAGCATCCTAGTGTTCTTGCCATTTTTCTTGCAGAACAATCAACCATGACGACCGAATCTGGATCAGACTCGGAATCCAAGCCGGAGCAGGAGGCCGAGCCCCAGGAGGCGGCGGGTCCGCAGGAGCGAGCGGGGACGCAGCCGGGGCCGGGGCCAGGGCCGGAGCCGCCCAGTGCCGAGGAGCAGCGCCAGGCCCTAGAGCAGTTCGAGGCAGCAGCGCACAGCACCCCGGTGCGGAGGGAGGTGAGCCCCGCGCGCTCTCCGGCGAACGTTTGCGGAGCTTTGCCAGGGTCTGCGTGAACTGCGGTCTCCCAGGACTAGAGGCGACCAGGAGGGGTCATCTGCTTTGCCCTTGTGGCCCTAGGCAGATGACAATGTATGCTATTTTAAGGCTTCCAGTGAATGACATTTTTTCAACCTTGCTTGGTAACTCCTTCATTTGCTCGCCCGCGAACGTTTGCGGAGCTTTGCCAGGGTCTGCGTGAACTGCGGTCTCCCAGGACTAGAGGCGACCAGGAGGGGTCATCTGCTTTGCCCTTGTGGCCCTAGGCAGATGACAATGTATGCTATTTTAAGGCTTCCAGTGAATGACATTTTTTCAACCTTGCTTGGTAACTCCTTCATTTAATTAAAACACTTAAACTCACACTGAAATCTGGACTGGAGATTAGGGGTCATATTGTGGATTTAGAGGAAGGATGGACAGCAGACTGACAGCTTTAGTTATGCTTTGGTTGTTCTTTATTTCAAGCCTAGGGGTTAGGGCTATTTTGATTTTCCCAAGCATCACTCTGACCCTAATATTTTCATCAACATTTAGTGGATTTTCAGGCAGGTCTCTTTTGCTCTCCTTTGTGCATCTGTGTTGTCAACTCTATTCCCTATACGTGTTTGAATTGTCATAAATGATGTATTTCTTTTAAAAGTTTTCATACAAAAAACCAAAGTATGCTTTATCCCTGGGCCTTTAGTGAGTCCATGTTTAAATTTCTTCTGTCATAAAACTTAAAACTTGGAATTAATGTGTTTTAGAGTACCAACTTGTATGTGGCAAAGAAATCCAGAGTCCCTACAAGTGATTGAGCTTTTATAGGTTGGAAGTGTATGTGTCAAGGTAGAAATTCTCAAAGATATTTAGAGAGGAGACATGAAATCACCGTATTAATGAAAATCTTTGGAAGTCACAACACATTATTATAACATTAGACTAAATGTTTACAACCAGATTATTTGTTTTCCCCTGGCATTTGCAAGTTCTGTTTTTAAACAATATTAATAACATTTATTTTTACTCTATAAATAGATACTGTGTCTGATCTCAGAGGCTTTGTGATGGAGAGCTGGGAGATAACATCCCAGCTTGGTAAACAAAATCTAAGGAGCTGCTGTAGTCATGGTTTTTCTCTATCTTTTCTTTTTGTGGAGTAGTGGTGATGGTAGTGTTTAGGTTTTTTGTTTGTTTTAATCTTCAAAATTTAAAATTACTAGACTGTTTTGCTTTTCCACATTTTTTCCCTTTTCACTCTGAAATGAAATAGCATGAAAATAGGAAGTAATTACAGAAAGTATGAATATCTATACTGAGACATGATTACATATACATACACACCCTTTCTTTATCTTCTGCAGTCAGGTATCTGAATGAAATAAGAGAAGTGATACTAAGCCATTAGAAGGAGAGGTGACTGGCTGCAGAGGGCAGAGACCTACATCAGTCCATTACTCCTGTCTCTCCATGTAGTTATTTTACCATCCTCAGAGAAATCATCCCAGCCCTGAGGCTTTAGCTTCCTCATCTACAAAATGAAGCATTCAGAAAAGATAATTTCTTTTTTTGTCCTTTTTGAGACCGGCCGCACTGTGCTCAGCCAGTGAGCGCTGTGAGCGCACTGGTCATCCCTATATAGGATCTAAACCCGCGGCAGGAGCGCTGCTGCGCTCTCAGCGCCGCACTCTCCCGAGTGCACTATGGGCTCAGCCCAGAGAAGATCATTTCTAAGGTACTTCCACAAAATTATTTGATTCATATTAGAAGGCCATCATGTTGGAGGTAAGATGAAGTATGTTTTATAAAGTGATGATGAAAGCATGGGTTTGGCCGCACTTGAATTCCAGTTTACTAATTTTGTAACCTTGAGAAAGTTTCTTAGGCTCTCTGTACCTGTCTCTCCTCATCTGCAGATGAGGGTAGTGATATCTGTGTCACAGAGCTGCTGTGAGGATTAAGTGAGATTGAGGATTTGCTGAAATGATTGATACTGATATTTTTAAATTATAATGCATTCTGTGACTACGATTGACATTTCTTTTGAGGTACTTGGTCAGCTCTTCTAGAGCCGTTAAAGTCGTTTTGGAAATGTGCGTAGGAACCTCAATGACGAGCTCTTGTTTTGCAGTGTTCCCAGGAACAAGGCCCATCCCTTGATAGTGGTTTAAGATGCCCCTGGAGTTTACCTGTTTAAGTAACCCACAAAGTTTATTTTCATACAGATATTTTTATTTTAGTAGAGGAAAAATAAAATTTCATCTTTCCTAATACATAGATAAGGTAGATTCCAGATAAAATTTAACAAGTGCTAAAATTTAATTTTAACAAATCTATTGACCTTGCCTATGATGAGATGAAAGTGTAGATTAAATGTGCAAAAGTGTTGTATAAATTATAAAGCACTTGACAGATATGTTTTTTGGTTGTTGATAGACACTTCCAAGATTACCAAACTTCTCCTTAAACTACCCGTATTAGTCTGTTATTGTGTTGTTATAACAGAATACCTGAGCGTGGGTAATTTATAAAAAAAAAAGTTTATTTGGCACATGATTCTGCGACAGCTGCATCTGGATGGGCCTCATGGTGGGACGCAGCAGACAGCCAGCAGGTACAAGGGGAGACCACATGATGCGAGTGAACAAGAGAGGGAGGGTGGGAGGTGCCAGCCTCCTTTAGACAACCAGCTTTTAAGGGCACTAGTAGAGCTAAAACTCAGTCACTATCTACCCCAAACCCCCCAGGGAGGGCATTAGTCTGTTCATGAGGGACCCCCCACCCATCACGATCCCCCCCAAACAGCTCCCAACACTGTGACCTTGGGGATTAGATTTCAACATGAGCTTTAGGGGGACAAAAGTTGGGGGGACAAACACGTCCAAACTATATCCCTACCCAAGGCCAAAATTAATGACAGTTTTATGATTTTCTTACACTTATTGTTTTAATGCTTTGATATGGAAAGACCAACAGTTAAAAAAGTAGGTCTGAGTTGCCAGAGCAGTTTTTCTTTAGTTTATTTACTTGTTTTAGCTGAAGCTTGCCTTCTCAACTATTTTGGCCTTTGAAATGTTATTCGGTTTTTTCTTGATTTCCTTTTGTAAGCCCAGCAGATTGGTCTCTTTCTATTCTTAAGAACCTCTCAAGACTTTGCTTTGAATCCTAGGCAAAGTAGTGGAAGAAAGGACTATATTAGCAATCTTCTGATGGAAAAAAAGATAGAAAATGCTAAAAAAGCAGACATCTAAAATAAAATACAGATTAAATACACCAAAAATAACTTTGTGATTATAGTAGAGTGATGTAAAATTGTAAAGTCTAATAGGAAAGAAACACTGAAATGATTAAACCTATGCTCAAGCCTTTATTCTTTTAGCACCATGCTGACAGTATGTTCATGAGGGAGGAAATTTTGTGCTATTTCAAGGAGCCTAAACTGAATTTAGTACCTAAGCTTTCTTTGGACTGTGTATACTTGCAGACTAGTGAAAATGGTAGTCTGGCCTAGAGGTTGAATTTGTATTACTACCACTGATGGTCACTTATTAGACAGAGGAGGGGTGTGGAAAGAGCACACAGAGATTTCCACGGGGATTGGTTCAGGGGAGAATTTTATTGTTATATAGGATGTCTTCTGCAGTTTTGAGTGTAGCCTGGACTAGTCTGTTGTGATTTACTGTAGGAAATAGCAAAGCAGCCCGTTTCCAAAGTGGTGTGCTATTGCCTGAGTAATGCAATATTTACTTCCTGTCCTGCGGTGAAAACTGGTCATTGTTTTGTCTTCACAGGTCACTGACAAGGAACAGGATCTTGCTGCCAGAGCTGCAAAACAGCTCGAGTATCAGCAATTAGAAGACGATAAGCTTTCCTGTAGGAAATAGCAAAGCAGCCCATTTCCAAAGTGGTGTGCTATTGCCTGAGTAATGCAATATTTACTTCCTGTCCTGCGGTGAAAACTGGTCACTGTTTTGTCTTCACAGGTCACTGACAAGGAACGGGATCTTGCTGCCAGAGCTGCAAAACAGCTCGAGTATCAGCAATTAGAAGACGATAAGCTTTCTCAGAAATCATCTAGCAGTAAACTGTCTCGCTCTCCATTAAAGATTGTCAAAAAGCCTAAAAGCATGCAGTGCAAAGTGATACTTCTGGATGGGTCAGAATATATCTGTGATGTGGAGGTAAGAGTATATTTTAAAACTTTTTTGTCCTAGGTATTGTGAGGTGAGGAAGGTTGGTATAAAACATACCAGATGCCTCTTTATTTTCCCAGAACTCTAGAAAATTACTCAGACCCAGTCTCTAAATACAAAATTATTTCCAAAGTCTTTAACTAGGGATCAACTTACTAAAAATATGTACAGTGTCCTACAGTGTTATAATCAAAAGTAAAATGTGATCTTACATTAAAAAAGGATGAAATCTGAAGCCTTTAAAAATCAACTTTTCTTTAATATCCTAGCTATGAGCTATTATTTAAATGAATTTTATCTTTTCTATTTGCATAATTCATGGCCAAGTCACTTGTTCTTGGTAGAAACTTAAAAATTCTGTGCATAAGGGCAGTGGGATAATTTGAAATGTCCATGTCCTTTTCTTGCTCAGGGAATGAGTAATTTTTACAGTTCACATCATGGTAGGTGTTGTAGCTTTAGTGTAAAAGTGTTTACTACTTTTTGCTCTTTTTTGAAAAAAAAACTAAGAGTCCTCTCAGAGAAGGGGCAGTTGAATGACTTTTGTCACAGATGTTTAGCAAGGCCAAAGTAGCAGATGAAAATAGTACAGCCCATCGGTAGCCATGGAGATGGATTATTGTTGCCTTCTCTGAGCATCGTGGAGAATCCATGCAGGACAGGAGCTCGAACTGTAGGGGCAGGTCTGTGTGGGGGAGCACTCTCTCTCTTAGCAAAGTCATTCCATTACAGTTTTAACATGTTCAGTGAAAGATCTCATGCTTCCTGCCTCCAGCCCCTGCCCTTGTCACAGAGGGAGGGACATCACACATTTCTGCAAGCCAGCCCCTCCCACCACATGCTTCCATAATTCCCCTTCCTCAGGTGGTGCTGAGACTTTTCCAGGCACCACAGGCAGTGCATGAGTGTGTGGTCACGCATTTCTACTCTTCTTTCCTCAGCATGGCCAGCACCAAGGCCACCTGGTTTCCCACCTTCCCTGCTCACTCGTCTCTGCTTCCTGCGTCTTACAACCCCTGTGTCCTTCCCATTACATTTTGTGTGATGCACCTGTGCACCTAGTGCTTTTTTTGTGACAGAAGATTCAAATCCATTTCATGTTGGATTTGTTTAGGGTGGGGATGAGGGGTGGGTTACTAAATTATTACAGATTACAGGAACATAGAAAGTGATATATTTGTAAATAAACTCTTATGTGAACAGTTATTTGGTCTGTCATATACTAATTTATAGAACATTTTAGTCATCCAATAGCTTTACAAACATAGATGGGCTGCTGCAGGGAGTTCCAAGGATGCTGTAAGGTTTCCACGCACAGATACATTCCTTGCATTTTGCTGGCTTTGATTTTGGCTAATTTCTTAGACCAAAGTGTTCAATTATTGATTTAGATAGAATTCTGGAAATGAGGAGCCCAATAATGTATTTCTAGCTAGGTTTTACTATGAAGCATAAAAGACTTTTGTAAACTTGAGAGAGATTGTATTTTTCCAGTATAGACTCACTTTCTGGAAAAATTGATCTAAGTCAATGGAAGCTTTTTTCCTTAACTTTGAAGAGAGTCTTTCTGTTGGTTGCATTTATAAAATGGAACAAATAGGGTTACCTGGGAACCTTCTAGTCATGGCTACCAGAGTTTTCTAATGAAGAGTCTTGAAGAAAGTTTGCAGTGTTTCATGTTGGGAGGATCATGCTTCAGGAGTGACCGAGGTTCACAGTGTTGATCATTTTGCCAAATTGAATTTATGTCCATGCTTCAGATTCATTATAGATACTCACTGTGGTTTTGAGTACAGAGTTTTTGTTTTGTAATTAACTTTGGATGTGATTCAGTGTTACTTTTAATATCGCTGTGAACATTTTGAGTGGCATAGCAATGTTGGTCAGTTATTTTCCTTCATAATTAAGTATTTTTATAAATTTGACAGATTCTTAAGAGTAACATTTTTCTGGGATATAAAAACCATTGCCAGCAGAATATTTCCAGTTTCACAGCAGATAGTAGTAGTAGGAAGTATGTGTTTACTGCCAACACCTTTGTAAAGAAGATGGAGAAGTTTGGACACATTCAAGTTCTGTGGATTTATTTGAAGATGATTGGCTGAATAAGAAAAAAGGATTCTAAATCAGTGGTGTGGTTTTCAACGTGGCAATGAGATGCTATTTGAGAAAGCCTATTCGAAATGCCTGTTATTTTTTATATAAACTATGGAAAGTAAAGCTTGCTGTTAGGGTGCAAATGGGTCATAATAGGTAAACAGATTGAAAAGCATTGCCATAGGGAAGATGTCCTTCAGTCTTCACTCTCTTCTGAACTGAGTTTTTATCGAGGACTTGGTTGAAGGCATGAAAGCATAGCTGAACAGTTTTTAAGCAACACAAAGCTTTAAAAAAGACCAATAACCAAATGTCAGAGTCCAGTTTTATTATGAAGTGGAGAGTGTGGGAGGCTGAAGCAAAGCCAACAAGCTGATATTTAGCAGGAATGGAGGTAAAACTTCACTCTCTTAGAAAAGATCAAGTACAAAATAGAAATGTGTTTGGAGGGAGGGGCAGACTTAGTCTGAGTAAAACTCATTTCCAGGTTGAAGTTGATTACAAAGTCAACACGAACCAACAGTGCGGTGTAACTGTCAAAACCATTCATGGAATCACAGACTGCTTCTGTGGAGGTGTAGTGTTTGGTCTGCAGAAGGCTGGACAGATTCCATCTGCAGGGCTGTGTTTCATACACATGTGATAAGCGCTCCAAAGCCACCAGACGGGCACGGGCTAATGGACTTGTCAGCCTATAACCCATGTGATTTGGAGGAACTTCCCTAAACTTACTGAGCCTTGGTTTTTCTCAACAAAAATGGATGTGCAAATACTTCCCTCAAAAAGGCATTATTGAGGAGATTCAAGCAAATAATTTATTTAAACACTCTCTGGGATGTAGCATATTCTTAATAAATGGGAGCTGTTTAATAATGATGAGAACAGTGAACTCTGACTTGAGCTTATTCAGCAGAGAATTATAGGATGGCGAATGATCTGGAAGCCTTCTCATGAGGGAAGATTATAGAAATAGGATGTGTTGAGTGTGGAAAAAATAAGATTTGGAGGGGACAGGATAGCTGTTTTCAGTTACTTGGAAACGTGTCATTGGCAGGTTGTCTTAACTTTTTTTATGTACAGAAAGCGATACTAAGGTAGAAGTTACATGAAGTCAGATTTTAAATAAACATTTAAATAATGTTTTAAATGATTGCTGTTGACCTTGTGATGATGTGCGCTCTAACGTTAAAAGAATTGCAGCAGAAACCGCAGGCGCCTGTGTGGACCCAGCTGTTCCCCAGATGCTGCCTTGGACCAGACATCTTCCAGGGCCCACAAACCCACAGAAGTCTGAATGGAAGAAGCAGAATTGCTTCCCTAATCCCTATCCCCAGTATATGTAGTTGAGTTGAATTAAGAACAGAATGCAGGAGGCAATAACAGGAGGAACTTTTTTGTGTATTTAATAAGGCATCAAAAAGGCATTTTATTTTAATGAAATTGTGATGTTTTCCCCCTGGCTTCTTTAATGCCTTCACCACTTCACCACCAAAATCAGCAGGACTCTACTCTGGCATGACTTTACCATGAGAATTTATAGTCCCCTATAAAGGACCCCCAGCTAAACACACACACACACACACACACACACACACACACCTCCCCTTGAGATAGCACTGTTCTCTTTACACGTCCCCTATAAAGGACCCCCAGCTAAACACACACACACACACACACACACAAACACACACACACACACACACACACACACACCTCCCCTTGAGATAGCACTGTTCTCTTTACACACTCACTCACACACACACACACACGCACACACACCTCCCCTTGAGATAACACCGTTCTCTTCTCCTTTGAAACCATGAGGTAGCATTTCTCCTTACCCAGAAATGCTGCAGTGGGAGAAACCCAGCGACGCACAGAGGCAGTGAGAGCGGTGACTGAAGACGCACACACACCTCCCCTTGAGATAACACTGTTCTCTTCTCCTTTGAAACCATGAGGTAGCATTTCTCCTTGCCCAGAAATGCTGCAGTGGGAGAAACCCAGCGACGCACAGAGGCAGTGAGAGCGGTGACTGAGGGTACACGTTCAGTCCCTGGTCCCTGCCGCCCATGTCTGATACTAGCCTTCAGGTTGGGCTGGCTTTTTCCAACCTCCCTCTAGCAGGCTTAAATCATTGTAGCATGCACTGTTTTTCCATTTGAGAGACTTTTTCCTCAATTTTTTCAATCTCTTAGTTTTGATTATCTAAAAATCTAAGAAAAGATCTTATTATAATAAAAAATCTTATTATAGGCAACTTGATATATATGCTTGGGAAATGTACAAAATTATTAATATGTGATTTCCTTCTTATTTTTATTTTCTGTTAGAGAATATGAACAACTTCCTTTAGCCAGTTTATCATTATTGCAGTTTATTTCCCAAAGATAAATTTTATAAGAGAAAATAAACAAAAATACCCCAGTCACACACAATAGAGGCAATAGAGCTCGTCACATTTATTTTAGTCCCATTGCTTCCATGTTTGGCAGACTGATTTGAGTCTAATTGATTAGTGCGCAGCATATTTCCTAATTACCATCCAATTAGAAATTTGCTTTCTCTTATTTGGGCACTGTTCTAATCTAGTCTAATTTGGTTTTAGGAAAATAAGTCCCAGACTCGGTCTCTAATTTGAGTCTATATTTCATAATGTAGCTTCGTTGCTGTATATATAAAATGTTTAAGCCATTTTATGGTGCAGTTGGGTTTGTTTCCCACTAGAAACGCTATTAGATTTGTCTAGAGCATTACTGGAAACACGGGGAGGGCCTACCTTGCAGTGTTACTCAGAATGGCCCTGCCATCTTTCTCTCCCCATGTGAAACCTCTGTTTACTTAGCCCCTAAATGTTGCTAATTCACTAGTGAGGGAGACTTAGTGCTTAT